TCTCTTCAACTTCTGGGTCGGTCATGGCTTGGTCCACGTCAACAACGCTGTCTTCCGCAACGTGTTGACTTGGCGAGACTTCCATCGACTCCCCAACTTCCAGACGGTCGACAGCGCTGCCAGTTCCAGTTTGCTGACTGGTCTGAGCCCCCACAGAAACCCGTCCTCGAATGTGCACTTCGGCCTGCTCGACGACTTCCAAGCCAGTCATGCCTCCATCGACATCGACGATACCGTCAGCCACACCTTGTTGGTTCGCCAAGCGTTGGACTGTTTTGGCCCTCTTGGCCATCATCTTCAGACGAAGAGAACGAACCCTACCAAGGACGGACCTCTCTAGACCTGGGGTACGAGACCTCGCGACACAGGGCTTCGCCAGACGCCGGGTTCTCGAATTCCGCGCCCTCCCTGGATCGCGCACGATCGATGTCGTGGTAAACTGGTCTTTGCTTGCAGATACCACTCCAGCGCTGCCGATTTGCTTAGCAGTGGTCTCTGTTGGGGCACTGCCGGCACCTTCTTCGGGCACGGTGTGACCATCAGTGGGCTTTTCAAAAGTATCAGGCTCGAGTTGAAGGACTATCTTCTTCTCTGCCTCGATAGGCGTCTGCACACCGGTATGCTCCTCGACAGACTGGCTACCGACCGGAGCACGCTGATCGTCGTTCGCGTTTTCCAGTCGATTTTCATCCGTGGCTGCAGTCACTTGGCCCGCTTGTCCCATGATAGAAGAGGAAACGACTTCCACCTTTCCAAGGAGCTTCAATGCAGCAGTATTCCGGTAGCTCTTCTGTACCTTGCTGACTGCATTTCGTGGGCGGAGTACCACCGCCATCTGCTTCTTGGAGCTGGAAGCATGCTCAGGGACCTTGCTGCGGGTTGTAGATTGCCCTTGTAGAGCAGGTCGTTGGCAAGGTACCATCGCCAGCGATTCATTCGGTCCTTGCTCAAGGGCTAAGACTGGACGCTGGTGGATACCTCGTGGAGCGTCAGTACGAGTGGTGACCTCCTTAGATATATATTTACCGCTTGGCACGGCAACTGTGATGTCGAATTCGGGTGAATGGACCACCACAGGGCTAAGAATGATGTAGAGGATGAGGAGCCCGAAGAGTAATAATTGCCAGTCGATGAGACCGAACCAGAAGCAGAGTACCAATATTACTGAGAGGTATTGAAATCTCTGTTATGGTTGATCAGCTTTGGTGTTGTGGTGTGAGGTTTTTTGCACTTACACCCCTCAGATCCTGAGCAGGTACTGGTGGCTCGTGCATCTCGGCAAGGTGATCCATGTTTCGCAAATGTGTGTGTAAAGATGTGTGAGAACTGGGATACCTAGGTATCCAGGTATGGTAGAGCAAGATACTCTTGGAACCTGCAGATAGTTCCTATCAGTTTCTGTCAAGGTGTATGAGTCTTCCTTGGATTTCGTCAAGTTTGCATGTATGTGAGAATGTTGGCTGGTGGATGGCGGATGGTGAGTGGTGGAGGGAGTGGAAGATGTAAGAAGGTAGAAGAGAAGGGGAACCTTATAGAAGTTGATGGCGCTAGTACTGCGGTGTTGAGAGTGCTTGAATCACGCATAGTGAATGGAGTTTCGGTTCCGAGGTGCTAGAAGGAAAAGTGTGTTGGGATCGAAGTGTTGACGAATTTTTCAGAAAGGACGATCACAAAGGAATTGTGTACGCACCTCAGTGCTCCTAGCAAAGCAACGAGCGGTTGAGGTCAGTAAGTGCGTCGTTATTGAGCGCGAGCACCCTGATGACGCTACCAGAGTAGAAGCCGGATGGCAGCTGTGTGTGCTTTCAAGTCCAACAGACGTGGCTGTTTCAATGCTGTAGAAGATGGAGCGTGTGGTAATGGGGAAGGTCTGAGATGTTAGGTGATTATGTAGTGGAAAATTCAGCGCTAGTGGGAGCTAAGAGAGTTGTGTTGATTTCTTCGCATTCACCGTAGGATACCGGGGCGGTCAAGGCCCAAATTCGGCATCTTCATCTGCTTATTGTTATTGTTCAGGCATTCATCATTCACTCTGTTTTGCCCCCCACGTTTCCTACCGAATTAGACGCCGCGTATCCTTTTCCCTGAGATAGGAGTACCCTTTGTTCATTCTGCTTTCTCGCAGCACCAACCCTGCCAACACAGTCCCTTCCAGATGCCCACTTCGAAATCAACAACACCTCATTTTAACATGTTCTGATCTGCGCGGGTGCAGCCTAGCGGGGTTGAGGGCTTTGAAGTGTGCAGGAGAACGCTGCCTTGAATGGAATGAATTGGCAATTGTGTTTTGATCCTACGAAAGCCGTAGACCAGGGCAAGCTATCGGCCCAAGATCTGGAGAAAAAAAACACTCCTTCATGCGTCACTTCTCAATCTACTAATGTTAAGACTGTTGACTGTTAAAGAACCCCATGGAGTGAGACATGACGAAGCTGTATAGCAAACCCACAAAGGATTCTAAATTCACGCAGAGGAATCCTCAGCTTCAAAGCTCACCTCCAAAGTAGTTGCCCCTGAAAAGAGTAATATTGGTCCATAGCGGTAGAACCTCCATGAAAAGCATCCCCAAGATGAACAGCAGCTGCATTCGTGGACCCCGAACCTCCCACGTTACTTGCACTCATATGATTCACGAAGCTCTGCAATTGAATGGCGCTCGAACCTACGATGCCGCCATCTGATACAGTTTCTCCTGTTGATCCTTGACCCGGTGCTGCATGCTAGCAAGCGCGTTTTTAATCCGAGCACTTGAGCGGGCAAAAGCTTGAAGAGGTTGAGGGCAGCGAGGAAATCATTCTCTTGCTTTGCAACATTATGCGGGCTTGGGTTTTTAGTCGATACTGTACTCTCGCCGGCACTGCGTCCATAAGTCACGATTTCGCCAATTTAGACTGTGGATTTAAGTCCCCATTCTTTCCGCTGTAAACCCAGTTCTTCCGATTGAGGTTTGAGATTTACTACAGGACATGTAGTCTGTTTTCGTAGCCAAGAAGAAAGTCGAGAATAGGCAGGTAGAGACTTCGGATCTGGATCAGCACACCTAGGCCCTTTCGCGGGCGGCCGGGTTGCCAAATACATTCAGCATTCGTTAGTCGTGATTGCTAGAACCAATACTTACTAAAGGTATAACCTTAAGAGGATCACCCACATGGGAAAGCCGAAGCAACGGCCTGCACTTTATCAGGAATTGTTAGTAAGGCGCGATATGGTTCTCCAGGTACTGGTTGTAGTATTGATAACGCAAAACTCATGCATAGAGGGGGAGATTTCCCCAGCGAAGATTCTAAGTCCTCATGAGTCGACATAAACAGTTGGGTTATTTTGGGTGATATCCACCAAAATACACAACCGAAAAGATGGGAGCTCTTAGGACTGCCACTTTTTCTGGGCATCTGCCTATGCGAATTTGGAACCTTCAGCTTCTGTCTATGCAAGACCTTTGCTACATTACCTTGCTGCTCTAATCTCGCCCATAAGGATCGAAGGGAAACCATGGGACATACTACTTACCCATTACATTATGCGGGGGACACGGCAGGTCAGCTCACAGTTAGCGCATTTTGGGTGTGACGAATCACAAAAGCGTTCATAGCCCAAAACAGCTCTCTGATTTGCTTGAGACCTTCGTTGGTTGCGAGCGTTCGAATTGCCGTACCACAATCGTCCCACAAGACGCATTGGTCTTCCTAGTTATACCCCTTTTGATCGAGATTTGGGATGAGCAGTAGTCAGTACTTACTCCACAATCCTGCGAGACATTCCAAGAAACCGTGGTAAGATTTGAGATAATTTGGGGATCAGCTTCATGTGAGGTCAGCACCCAAAGTCCAGAGAACGCTAGTAGCAGCCCTAACCCTACTTTCGGAAGTTGGCCCTGTGGCGGAAACTGATTTCCGATAACGCACAAATTGAAGTTTACGGGGCTTTTATTGGGCCTGATAGGGGCTTACAGCCCCAAACTGATTTCAGCTTGGGCGCCATTTCGAAGCAGATCTACGGAGTAAGCGGGCACTCAGGACTCGACGTGCAGACCCTCCATGTGGTCAACGTAATACCAACGGACAACCGTATTGTCCGGGCCGTTCGCTACGCTCGGGTTTCTGATTCCGCTTGAACGCTCACTACTCTCGTACCTAGAGCTTTTTTCGTAACATCAAGAATGAGAAAGAACGTATGACTGACAACGGTAAAGTATGCAACTAGAGAACGGGAAGCTTGGTACTATTTTGAGAGACAAAGCGAGGCCTTCACAGGATTTGATACCAGACGCAGCAAGCCGCGCGGAGCTCGAATCAGGCAGTCTGACCAAGGTATCTCCACGATAGGCTAATCAAGGCTTGTTCTCTGTCAAGAACCTCTCTGCAGCACATTGTGACGAGAAGTGGCTGAAATGTTTCATTATCCAGAACTTCACGAAGATGAAAGGTAGTGAGTTCATATACGACAAACACGCGCTTGGATCCCGGTTTCCGCTTTTCGTCGGCCCAAAGTGTTCGCCTGCCGCTGAAACATCAAGTGCAGCGCGGCCTTGGAAGTACCACACTATTCCTGTTTTCCATACCCACCTCTTGAGGAAATGATTGGCTCTGCCGTTTCGTCAACAAATTTGGCAGACGCGTTGCCGTGACAAGTTATGAGGCTGAGTTGACTTGAAGTCCTTGAAATTGTGTGAGAATGGTGGCCAAGAAAATCCAGTTACGGGCAATCTGTACCGCGTCTCACTGTAGACACCCGCTAGCCTTGTGCGGACTTGTATATGAAGTCGGAACGCCGATGATTCTCTACCTATTCAAGTTTCCCTCCGTTGCCGAGCTTTCCCCAAGAACCTCACAAGCTCGCTTTTCTCTTCCAACCGACCTTCCCTACTGCAAATCATAAAGCATCTCGGACTCACATCGCCAAATCCTTCCTATTTCCATTTCCGACGCCACGATATTTGCCCCAACCAGAGCCTCATGGCAACCTTTTCCAGCCTTCCCATCGAGATTCACTACCTGATCATGTCTCGAGTTTCTTTCCGCGACAGAGCTCGCATGGCCCTCGTCAACAACATGTGCAGGATTATTGCCGACGACGAGGAGAGCTATCGGGTCCAATACGTTCGCGACTTTGGGGATCCAGCATTGCACGGCTTCTACACTTTTACCAAGATCAGCGAAGAAGTCAGGTGGAAACTAGCCTACGAGCGCCGCCATTTTGCCGATATGCCTTTGCTCGTTGCGGACCGCCGTTCATGTTATGCTGCAGCATGAAGGAAACAGGCTTGCTGGATAGTTATGGTGGGAGTCGAAGCCGGATATTTAGCAGCCTTTTGCGCCTGGGTACACAATGTGTAGCTAGTCAAAAACTCATACGTCTCGCGAGCATTCAGATTAATGCTTACATCTATGCTATGACCAACTCTCAAATGAATGTCTCCCAAGCGCTCTCTCTCCACTTCCACAATCTTCACACTAGATCCGCACCAGAAATACGTAGCAAATAGGTATGAGAATTGCAACTGAAGTAAAGAACCGCCTCATAAGATTGCTGCGCCTCAGACACTCGAGAAACAGAGCCCATGATGTATGTCGAGTAGCTGAAACCTAACCAGTGCATCCTTATCAATGTCTCAGGTTCCCGTAACCAAGCAGGGTCCGGTGCGCGGACTTCATACATCTCAACGGCGTTTCCGGTCTCAGGCTGTAAGAATGCGTACACCTTACACCGAAATAGGTTCCGCACACTAGCCCCGTCTGCTACGAAAACTTCTACATGAATCGCGTATCTCTGTTGTCCTCAGTGCAAAATCATTGGCAACTTTTGACGATCTTTCTAATGAGCTCAATTATATGATCGTCTCTGAACTCGCTTGGGTCTCCTACAGCGACAGGTTTCGGGAATATCAAACTCCAAAACCCAACAGGAGAAAGCTCTCCTTTTCTTTCTTCGCGCATACTTTTGTGGGTATCCACCAGAATAAATCAGCTCTTCCCGTCAAAACATGTTGAATAAAAACAACTCTATGCATAAAACCACGTGCCTTGCAGCTCGAATGACGAAATCAAGAGAACCTTCGTGAAAACCGGCACCTATTTCTGGTTACGCGCCTGAACCCACTACATCTCAAACTGTGCCCCAAGTTTGTGCCCCAGAACTACGTTTCAAGCTGCGTTTTAAGCTGCGTCTCGGACGGTATGGAGGAGCTAAATTGATAATGGAAGATGGTCCAAACTGCAGCCTCGTCCCCCACCGAGTCGTCTAGCAATTGAGCATTCCCTCATCTTTCCGACAGACATGAGTAATCCCTCCGCTACATCCGAATCGAAACTGCGATGTCGACCGACCCTACTTTGCCCTCATCAATCTTGTCCAGCCAAACTGTTCAACGGTGATGGATTGACTAGTTCTATGGAGCGGTGTTTCCATGTAGAGATAGTAGCAAAGGCCTGTGGCAGAAGAACGCCAGTACTGTTATTGTATTGGAATGTGGTGTGGAAGTTGTTGTATTAAGAAGAAGAAGAATGGCTGTGAAGCCTACTAATAGTAGGTGGCTAGCCCTACAAGGCTGGGAGCATATCAATTTGTCGACTTGTTTGGCCTCAACGGGCCATGCATCAGTCTTGAGCTAGCATACATTGACACCGTCAAATACAGTAAAGACAATTTCTTTTCTGGAACCTGAAACAGCAATACAAGCAGCGCCTAGGGAGGCTCAGGTATCGGCATTCGATTTGGACACCGAGTCATTATCATTTTTGTGAAGGTGAACTCCAACAGCATGTCAAAGGGTTTCCAATGCTTGCTAGAATCCAATTGCGCGTCGGGGCAAAGATCCACCCACGGATACGATATATGATTATGATCCAAGACCACCGAACGTCAATAACCCGCCAATCTCAGCGCACGACATACCATCTCATTTATTCCGCGTATTGTTCTATCACTGCCTGATAAGTTGCAGAGGCTTTGGTTCTTGGGCATGGTGGCTCGTCAAGCATCCTAACGATTTGCAAAATACGGCGGCTCTGGCGGTAAAACCAGCCCTTTTGCCTTTCCATTTGTCTTGGGTCTATGTTTGCGTTTGAAAGGGTTGATACGAGTCGGTGTGATTTGTGGAGGTTGCGTGGCATTGGAATTGAATTTCTGTGCCATGAGTAGAAACGCGGCAATATTACCCAGAGCGTTCAAGTGGAGATCATTTGGCAGTCGCTGAAGCGGGGTCCTCAAGTAGCATAGCGGCAATGAACCAGTGGAGCATAAAAGCAATACTTGAGGGCTCAGCAGTGGTCATGAAATCTACTGTCCATGGTTTAATAAAATCAATTCTCTGATTCCTAATCAACACCCTCCTCATCTCACGCTCTAGCGAGGAGAGACGCCAATGCTATCGCATCGAGATTGGAAAGCCAGAGGCAGCTTGTAAGGTTGTAACCGTGCGTAGATCCTCGGGACTGATATGGCACTGCCCTCGGACCCCCTCCAAGACCTCGCCAAGACCAGAATCTCTGCATCAAAGAGCTGCTCCCGACATGTGTGGAGCTTGCATATGACTGCGAATTGAAGAGCAGAACTTCAAGTTCTACTGGACGTATGCATTCCAGCCTGATTTTATTCGAATTCGAGCTGACAATGCTTGCTTCAGCCCCCGCCCGGGGTCCCGCGGCACCCTGCGCACCCTCACCACACTTACCCCCCAGGGCTTAGCTCGCAAGCGTTAATTTGGGCGCCAAGCCTAAGGCACTGCTGCGTGCGTACTCGGTAGATCATGCACTGAGAGCGCCGAGAAATCAAGGCTGCAGACAACATCCTCATACGTCACCATCTATCTTGCAACATACTGTACCCTTGCACGTATTCCACATGGTCACCAACGCCAAGGCTCATCTCATTTTCTCGGCAGGTTTCAGCTCAACATGAATCTTTTTGCGCGCCCTTGTTTCGGCTCGACGGTGGCGGCTCACTAGTAAGGATCCCCACGTGGCATGAGCTGAATGATCGACCTCTAGTCTGTTGACGTCTCCTTGCACTTTGCTCTGAGGTTGTCAGTCACTTGGTGCTAGGATTTGCGACGGGCAAATGGATACAGAAACTATGTATGTTGAAATGTGTGGCGCAAAGCCAAAGCCATCAAAGATAGCTCCAGAATGGCTCGTGCGTCAGCGTACCCACATAAAATAGAGCTGACTCAGGACACGCTACAAGTAAGGTGCATACTGCATGCTAAATATTCCGAAATTTGGTTGGGATTCTAGACTCCGCGGGGAGAGTCTGCCCGGGCGTTGGGGACAGTATCTAATCCTCATTTCCAGCGTTGTGATTCGTCCAGGGATCCGCTGCACCCTGGATGTCAACCTGAGCGAGCCAAGGGTCAGGTGGCCCGGGAGTCTCCTCAAGAGCCATGTACGTAACGCGAGCATGGGTAACAACGAGGCTTTTAAGGCACCCCTTGTCGATGGTTTACTACATTTACAACCTCTCGCTCCTTCATCTTCCACCAATCTTTTCTCCCGTTTGCGACATCCCGGAACCCCGCCATTCTTGTCTTTAGCCAATAGAGATGTCGCTCCCGAATGTTTCCGATGTCGCTCTCTGGTTCGCCCTGGCTCTGGGGCTTTGGATCTTTTTGAGTAAACTTTACCAGGCCTATGCCTCGCCTCTGAGAGATGTGCAGGGCCCGTGGCTGGCAAGGTTCACTCGGTTCTGGTATGCGAGGTCAACATACTCGAGACAGGGCCACAAGATCAATATGGATTTGCATAAGAAATATGGACCCATCGTTCGCATTGCCCCCAACGAGTATAGTATCGACGATTTGGAAGCCTCCAAGATCATTTATCGCTCTAGGGACCCTTTGGTCAAGGTCTGTCGAGGTGTTTTGCAGAATCCCGAGCGCTCCCCATTGATTGGTCTTTGCAGGCGCCACGATATGCAGGGTGGGGTTTGCCGAATGCAGAACCGAGTACCTTCACCACACTTGACAACGCTCATCACGCGGCACGCATACGCCAGGTGAACTCATTGTATCAGACTAGCGCGCTCGTGAATATCGAATATCAGGTCGATGGTGCGACGAACGAATTTGTGGAGAGACTGTCGGGATTTGCGAAAGAGGGGAAGACAGTCGACATGGGTGATTGGTTGAAGTACTATGCCTTTGATGCTGTTGGGTCACTCTCGGTGAGCAGCGATTTCATGAAATCCTGATGTAACATTCGGATACTGACCAGCTCTGTTCAGTTTGGCAAGCCTTTTGGCTTCCTTCAGAAAGGGACAGATATCGCCGGAATCCTGGAGACCATCCATTCTTATGCATTCTACGGTATGGTTGCGGGAATATACCACGAGTGGCACCCTACCACGTACAGGATATGGCAATGGCTAGCCCCCAAGGAACGCGGTGGAGGCATAGCACACATTATGCAATTCGCAGGCCGAGCCATAGATGACTGGAACCAACGCCTAGAATCAGAGAAAGCGATGGATGAAGAGAAGACTGAAGGTGGTGACCTCTTGTACACTAATCAAACAGGCTCTCTGCTTGCGAAGGTCCGAAGGAACCCCGAGAGTTTCAAGGCTGAGGATATTTTCTATCACATGTCGATGAATGTGCTCGCGGGCGGAGAGACCACGGCTGCCTCGACCGCGAATATTGTTTACTATCTGATCAAGAATCCAAGGGTGCTGAGCAAGCTGCGTGAAGAGTTGCAAGAGGCCTTGGGGAAGAGGGACGAGGCAAGCAAGAGGGTTTCGGTGAAGGAGGCGCAGAATGTCCCTTACTTGCAGGCGGTGATTAAGGAGTCGTTGAGAATATTGCCAAACGGCCTGCACTTGCCGCGTGTGGTGCCTAAAGGAGGCCTTAATTTGGCCGGGCGATTCTTTCCGGAAGGTGTAAGTCACTGTGTCTCCTGCAATTGATGGCCCTAAAACCTTACCATGACGGTTCTTCGCAGACGAAGGTTGGCATTAATCCCTGGGTCGCCCACGCCAACCGATCCGTATATGGAGAGGACGCCGATGTCTTCCGGCCAGAGAGGTGGCTGGAGGAGGGAAGTATGGATGGAGAGAACAAGATGGAGCAGTACTTCTTCACGGTTAGTGCTTTTGATGCTCTCCTCGTCTTCAGCAACCCAGCAATCACAACTACTCGTGGTGCCCAGAATGTGGTATTCCTGGCCCAAATACTTCTCTCAAGCAATGCCCGTTGTCCCACCCTCAGTGGGCGGTCTAATTGGTGTACACTCCCACAGGGGTGCGCCAAGAAAGAAATTACCTTGGCGTCAACAGCACCTACTCTCTTCACTCTCTTGAGAAGAGAAAAGACGCGAGAAGAACGAGACTTGCTAACATGTATGGACGGGAACAGTTCGGCCGCGGCCCTCGTACGTGCCTAGGCAAAAACATATCGCTCATGGAAATGAACAAGCTCATCCCGGAGCTGGTACTGCGCTTCGATATCGAGATGGCGGAGAAAGACGCTGAGTGGACAGTATACAATGATTGGTTCGTCAAGCAGGAAGGATTTCGAGTCAAGGTAAGCAAGAGGCAGGAGACCGGCGTGCTTTTGTGACTGGCACCACGTCTCGGGTTTCGCCAGGTGGATGAGGGGTAGTTGCGTGCATGGTGTAGAGACGACTTGCTGCCTCCCCAGCACAGGTCATTGTTTGCCAGTTGACAAGCTTGTTATCTTCGTCTGCCCACGTGGGCCTCTGATATCAAGTTTAGCCTGATATCCTTGCAACGTTGTCATCGTGAAATACTCGCTCGGTATTGATTCTTCGTTCCGACCTGGGAAGTGCCATCCGAGGTAAACTCCACTGCAACATTATTGTCGTGGAGAGCGCTAATACTTGCTGGTCATCGGTTCTCTTTTCCGCCCTAGCAAGTGCCAGGCGAGGTGACAAACAAAGGTGGCAATCGAAGTGGTACGTGCCTATAACATATTAGCAGAAAAAGTACCAATGGGGAGTGATCTTGCTGTATAGCACCTAAAACCTGAAGGAAACACACTCGAACTCGACAACGTTTCTAGGTATGATATTGTAACCCGGCGCGAAGATCAACAAAGTCGCCACACAGACTTCAATTTTTTCTTTAAACGTTCCCAGGTCCCCGCTCTGCTGGAAAACCGGCCCTAGGATAGATGGGCATTGAACGATTTAACACAGTATGCCACACGAGCTATAAATATGGGTACTCGATCCTCAAGCACCGAATCCTTCAGGATCACGACAAGAAAAATCGAGCGCTCACATCTGAGTACATACTTGAAGAAAATGTGAAGAGAGTAATACTGAATGCCGTCCGGGAGATTGTAGGGTATCATCGAATCCCATTCTGAATTGACCGAGGGTCACCGACTGGTCGCCACAATCTCCGAAGCTAGACAGGTCTGTGTTTCATGCAAGTCAGTTGCAGGCTTTGCAGTAAGTTTTTAGTTCTTCTTTTTTCTTCTAATCCTTTCGTCTACACTTCACCATTTAGGACCTCACCTGCCAATTTTACGCGCCACCATTGGCAAAGCCAGGCTAATGGTACCCACATCAGACGAGCTCGCATATGTTACCGGGCGCAAAGCCCCCACCGCTCGGGGCTCTTTCTAATGGCCTTCCTAATGAGCTCAAGCCAGACACATTTGCCTATGTTGCAGCCGAGGACCCTGGCTTACCTTTGAAGATCTGATGACGCACCCATCATTCTTTCCGGCAGTTCATTTCTCGCTACAACTCCTCTGCCGAAGTGGTCAAAAAGCATGACCGAGCAGCCCACGCCTCCTGAAAAGAAGCTGCCCCCACTCCTCGCTCTCCCTCTTCCGCTCAAACAGCGGGTCTTTGCCTACCTGGACGAGCCTCACAATCTGTCTCTCTTCCTCCTACGCCGAACCCACCCTATACTGCGCAGGTCGATACCTCGTGGCTACTCTTCGACCCGACAGACCAAGAAGTGCCAACTCTGGACCGCTGAACGCGAGCACCCTCATCTCTTTCCGTTCCGATCCTACCCGTGCTACTGCTGCTTGGAGGTTTATCCGGGCAGGTGCTTCGCACGCAGGTTTAGATACGAAGTGGAGTTGGAACGTCGCTGCAGATTCTGCACACGCGTTTGGAACCGTCGCGTTCTGTCTTCAGACCGTCAGGATGACGTCCAATCCCGCGCCCGTATCTGAGCAGTCACTGTTCCTCACTCTGCCTCAAACGACTCAAGATCACATCCGCGAATATCGGCTCCGCAAAAATATCGAAGAAGAGTGGCTATTGTATGAACACGACTTGGAGCTTCGTCTCGCCGCTTCCAATGGCAAGCGCGGGTTTTTGAGGTCATAGCCGTTATTCTCGAAGGCATTAGAAAAGAGCGGCAAGTGTGTGCAGATGCATCGGGCATTGCCGCTTCCTCTTCTCAGACCGAGGGTACAACCTCAATTCTTACACCCACGTCTAAACCGCCACCACTCCTCGCCTTCCCTCCCGAACTTCAGTTGAACATCTTGTGGCACCTAACCGGAATATATTTGCTGTCTCTGGTGATTCTTCGCCGCACCCACCCTTCCTTCCGCAGCCTGGTTCCCCAAGCCCATAGTGTCCTCTAAATTCCGGCTACTTTCGTCTGCTAGCTGACCGCGACCACCCTTACCTCTTTCCATCAGAGCACTACTTGTGCCATTGCTGCTTGGAAGTCTTTGCCAGGGAGGAGTTGGAGGTGTGGTACGAAGCGGGGTGATTCTGGTGTTGACGGGCGGTAACACGAGGTCTCTTATCTGATTACATCAATTGGGCGGACGGTTTTAGCTCAAACACAATGCTTTTGACACAGGCGACAACACAAGCTTATGCATATCACTTTCACAGCGTCCATGTCTTCCAGCCACCAGCTTCCTTCACCATTCTTTTCTCAACGGCATCATCCACAGTTACCATGCAAGTTTCAGAATCAGTCGCCATCACCACGGAAGCGAGTCAAGTACTGCCACCACTTCTCGCCCTCCCCCTAGAACTCAAACAGCAGATCTTCAACCACCTCTCCAACGATGACGAGCAAGGCTTATCTCTTACGATACTCCGCCGCACTCACCCCATATTCCGCCACGTCATCCCTCGCCAGCAGCTCAGTCCGATCACTCCTTACAACCCTCTTGACAAGACCATACCCAGCGAGAATTACAGGACCAGAACCGTCAGACAGTACCAGCTCTCCCTCACCGAACGCAAACACCCATATCTCTTCGCACCCGATCACTATCCGTGCTACTCCTGTTGTGAGGTCCTCGGAGTTGGTCACTTCGAGGATGACGGAATCAGAGATGAGTTTGTCTGCTTGAAGGATCTGGAGAAAATCCCACTCGGATCACCATCTTTACGTCCCCGCATATGCGATCGCTGCTTGGCAGCTGAGATGATCATAGTATCGGGCATGGAAAATGCACAGCGAAGGTCTGGTGCGGGTGATAGTGGTGGCCTCTGAGTCCTGGACAATGATGCATCAGGGAGAGAGCTCCAGGTGGGAAGATTGAGATGACTAAGAGCATGCAAGCTAGATCCATCTAATTACCTTATCCACCACCAATACAAAGCACGCTCTGCGTTTGCTTACCATGTGGGATGGTCCGATAATAACAAGGTCGTTTGATCTTATTGCGGCAAGTGCGCTTTCGTAAGAGTATGTAGCATGAGTCATGCATAGATAGAATTTCAATTCAAAATAGGAGAAGGCTCGCTTCTATTTCACCTACGCACATTTCTGTGGAATCGGACCGTTAAAAGAAGTCCACTCTTCCTATCAAAGCATCCCAAATAGAAAGGATCAAACATTGATGGAAATACGATCCCCTGCAGGTATTTCTAGCGAGAGTCTGTGAAATCTATCCAAATTCCTTAGCAATACGCCCGAACTACATAATCTCTCCAAGTTCTCCCTCGCAGGCAAAACGACGGTTCTCAGGAAAAGTCGGTGAAAACTGTTAGTATTCTCTGGCAGCCATCGGCCTTCTACACCAAGACTGCATTGCGCAAACGTGGCACTGGCAAACGAGAGAGAAGCGCATGCTGAGCGCCGAGAACAACCACCAACACCCAATCCCTCCCGGCTACTCCCTCTGCTACCGCTGCAAAACAGTCCTCCCGGCCTCGAACTTCGACAACTGCGAGAGTACCGATGTTCTTGGGATGGGGGGCGTAAGGCGGGCCGCTGGGGTGCGCTGGCGCCCAATACCGTAAGCGCGATCGGTGCTGGATGGTCCTTGATGTACAAGCGTGGCATGATGCCGTTCTCAAAAATCATAAGCCTGGGGGCCGCTACCGGTAGGAGTAGACGTGGTGGTTGGACTTATGCGGTGGTTGGGGCAGGCAGTGTTAGCTGGTACCACGCCCAGGGGGCTGATGTGGGTGGGTTCTAGCTTGAGATGCTGGGCATTGGAGAGCAGGAACTGAGTTACAGGAATTCGGTAGGAAGCTAGAAATACTCAACGAGGAACTGCAGGTCGCCACTTCGGCTTCAGCTCCCCCATGTTTGTGTTTCACTATCCCCCTCCTTGTCTCTCGTGGCGTGACAAGCCCTTTAACACTTCAAGAATCTCCTTAAGAGTTGAGGACTCATTTAACACTCTAAAGCCTCGCCAGTCTTTCAATCACCAAAGCTTGTGTACGACTCTGCCCGTCTCTCCGTCTTCAACGTCACCCATTGCCTTTGCAACTCCATCTCTCCCTTAACATATTACCTGTTGCTGCGTTGGGAAATTTAGTGGCTTGGCAAAGCATAGACCCACAACTGCTTCGTCCTCCCACCACCAAAGATATTCTCCGCGCCAACACAGATCCACCAAAACCTCCATATCATCACCGACCCAAGCAATCAGCCACTCAAAAACGTCAAGATGCCGATCCTCGCTCTCTTCACCAATCCGACTTTCCATCACATTTCCCTGTCAGTACTACAACTTCCCGTGCCCTCCACCCACGGACTGCAACTGACCTGACCTTCCCCAACAGCCTAGCCTTCCTCCTCGGAGCACAGATCTACCAATCATTCCTCGTCAACATCACCGCCAAAAACGCTCTCACCGAAGCCCACTTCCGTATCCTCCAAGCCGCCATCTGGCCCATGTACTTCAAGATGCACATGATCGTGACTGTGCTGCTGGCATTGACATACCCCGGAGCCGGAAAGGCCGCTCTTGTCCCAGGTTCAGCTTCGATCGTGCAAGGCCAACCGGACAAAGGTGATCGCTTGACCGTGATGCTGTCCTTCACAGCGATGTTCGTCTTCTCGGCGGCGAACGCGTTCGTTTTCGTTCCGAGGGCTACAAGTACTATGTGGAAATTGCACCGTGGTACGTTGACGATGGGCCCCAGTCTCAGATGCATGAAATTATGGAAAATCATGCTGACGGTGAGGATCAGTTCGTGAGGAGAAAGCCCGTGGGAGGACAGGGTCTCAGTGGCAAGGAGATAAGATCAACGTTGGTATGTGATTCGATGTTCAGCCTGGATCGCACGGACTACGGATGGGTTCGCTGATCAAGTTCTAGCATCAGTCGGTGACGGAAACGGTATCCGGAACGATGGTTCTGAGTGGCCGGAACTCAAGAGCTTGTACAACAAGTGGCGTGCTTTTCATGGAGCTTCTTACGCGTGCGCTATGGCGACGCTCGCTACGAGCATTTACTATGCACTGTGTATTGCGGAGAGATATCTATGATAGAAGAAGCTATGTGAGCGGGACATGAGGGGACTCGGGAGCTGCATGCCTGTGTTTGCTCTGTCGGGATGGTTAGGAGCGGCAGGAGAAGAGGAGCGATCATGATAGACGGCGAAGTGCGTTAAGTTGTAGATCATTCTGACTTAGCCGTACTAAGCTTATGCTGGAGATTTTCCCGGATAACGTATGAAAAGAGTGTAGCTTTAGAGACCAGACACATGGACGATGTGGGAGGTGTTATGGGTGGCATGATGTTGTCGTGTTGTCATTGGTGTTGTGAGCAACTCAAAGACTTGAAAGAGCGTATCCATGCATAGAGAAAACTTCAATTCGTGGCAGGAGAAAGCTCCCCCCCCTTTTTATTTACGCAGAGGATATAAGAAACAAAGAGAATGAATCGCATTGAAATGATTTTCTTACAGATCAACGACGACGTTTGGGAATGATCGAATCAACACCCTCGACTTACATCCAATCCTTATCAGCAGCCGTACGCAAGACCTTCCACCGCTACGCCACCCCACTCTAGCCATCCACCACCAGCAAGGATCCCAGCACTTCCAGCATTTTCCTCCCCCAGCTCCTCAAGCCCCGATCGGTACATTTCTGATCATCATCATCATTTTTCCGCCACCGGAACCTCATTCCCAGATGCCCAATCTCTGCACCGATCCGACCCCGACCATGACAAACCCCCAGCCGTCGACAACGCGCCGGCACCGGTAGCAGGGGGGGACCACGCTCGGCGGGATCGGGTCCGGATCGCTTGGGCTCAGCCTGCAGGAGTTTCGCTCCGCGGCCGTATCTGCGCGTCGAGCCATGCGGAGCGGGATGGATCATGGTACGGAAGGTCCGGTGAGTGCGACGGTGGATCGTTGGGGTTGGCTCGGGGCCTGTGGCATCGGAGGGGCAAGGTATGACGGTTTCCTTGACCTCGGACGGGAGAGCAAGGAGAGGTGGGAGGGGCGTCGTTGACGTGGTTTGAGGTATGGCTAGACCGGTCCTGGTGTAGCTTGTGTGGGTTGACGGTCCGCTGTTCTGTTCTTGCGGGTGTGGATTCTATCCTGCGCGCTCGGATGAGGGTGAGGAGAGAAAACGTTTTTGAGACACCAAAAGGCTTTGGAATTGGCAAGAGATGGCGATGGAGTATGCTGCAAGGAGGAGTTTGGGGATTTTCGAATTTTGTTTCATGAAAGTGTTAAGGAAAGTCAGATGACTCGAGCACCGAAGCGAGTTTGAAAATGGCGAAGTGGCCGATGGAGAGATTACATTGAGTCTCAATACGGTCACCTTCGCCGTCGGACTGACAGGTGGGAGCGCTGGAGGCCGTAAACGGATTCGGATTCGTGCATTGGGCTTACCTCCTCTCGCTGTTACCATTCAAGTCTGAGTCTAATTTGTTGTGTAATCTGCGGAGAGCTCGGATTTTGTGATTCTGACAGACTTCTGTGGATTTCAACCAGAATGTGTTGCCGTTCATCACAAAAAAATCTCGAATGAAGCTGTTCAGGACAGGTAAGCAATCTAGTGTCATTAAAAACCGACAACCATTTGAGGTTTGTTTCGTTCCATGTGTCGCAATTTTCTGGCAGCGCATGTACAAGTTAAATGGGTGAGCTGCTCATAGGTCAACCTGTTTGCCGCACCATCGAGGTGTGGGTACGCGGATGGTAGAGCAGTGATGGGAGCATTCCTATGAATATCGAGCCTTTTATGTTTGTGTGAAGATGGGAGGTTACGAACCGATTCGTAGCAGTCGTTTTGCACGGTCCGTATTTTTGGCTGTGTCCCTGAGGACCCCATAAAGCGTGTTGTGGGGAGTGATACAAGCGGACGGATGAGCAGGGCAGCGATAAGAAGTATATACAGGAAAGATGGTGCAGCTATTTACAAATGCGAAAAGAATACCATGAGACAATGAAGGTATGTGCTGTAATAGGAGGGACTCACAAGAACGACGTGACTGTGTACAGAAGCAAAAGGACTGTGCAGGATACAAGCGAATATACACGGCGAAGACAGTGAATATGTGCACGAAATGGATGTACTCACCCACCCACTAGCCCAACGCATCTTCATCACTTGATGCCGTTCCCACCCATCGTACTCCTTCCCCTTCTCATTGCCCTTTTTCCAGGCGGGTTGGGCAGCCCACCACCCATAGCAAGCGGCGCGCTCAACAACGGCGCCGTCTCATTCCTCTGATGCCCACCAGGACTGACAGCAACATGGCTTACAGCTACAACATCGCCATCAGACTGATAGACATCCAGGCTGTTGATCAGCCAGAAAGCGTTTGCGAAAGCAGACGGGTTGTTCTGCACATAATCGTTGCAGGTGTCGGCGAGGGAGGAGCAATAGGAGCTAGTGCCCCAAACAGCTCCGGCCCAGTCGCCGCAGAAGTCTGTGTTGAAGACCTAGGGATTGATCCATTAGTTTCTAAATTGGTAGTGGCGGGATGTAGGGGCCCCCAAGAGCGGAAGGGGATAGACCGTGAAAGCAGATGCAGGTCAGAGAGTGAACGTACAATTTGCATATCCGCAAAATGGCTTGGAATGTCGCAGTCTCCCTGATACTGCGCGACCGGCTCTTTCCAAGACGCTGGGTCGGGGGTCCCTGCTTCGAGGTCTGAGGGCGTTGTGCCGCGTGGGAAGAACCAGATGTTGATGTCGCTACTGGTCCACTCCATGACAATGACACCACCTCCGTTTGAGTTGAAATTGTTACCGTAAGATTGCGTGTTCTGGTTTTGAATATCGCAGCCGGCATTGTTTGATTGATTGGGGGCGTAGACGTAGCAATTCGAGGTTGTCAAAGTACCGGTGAAGGCGCCATCTGTGATGGAGCACCCGTCCGAGGTATGCAGGGTCATAGCATTATTTGCGTTGTCGTTGACGCCTTCGATGATGTCAATTTCGCCGTCGTTAGGCCAATTTGGACCGACCATCCAGAAGGCGGGCCTGGTTGGATATCAGCAATGCTTTCGCTGCGAAGAGGACACAGATATGAGGAAGAACCTACCATGTGCCGCAAATTCCACCCGGCATGTGCGAGGCATCGAGGGCAAACAAGCCATAGTTGTAGGCTGCGTTACTCGTGATACGTACGCTATCTCGGCCGCTACCGGTAGCAACATTAGTGCTATCGACACCCATGTAGACAAGCCCGTTGCTGGTGTTTATGTAGCCATTGTTGGTTGCTGTTGACTGATCGACGTAATTCACGTAGCCAGCAGTAGGGTCGCCCGACTGAAACAAGGAGTGAGTCCAATTGACTGCCGTGCAAATGGTCAGGAATAAGGCAACGTACAGTGAAGAAGCTAAATTGATCAAACCAATTTGCCGACGTGTAGCTCGTTTCCAGAACATAGCCGGCAGCGCAGAGTTCAAGCAGGATTGCTTGAACTAAAAAGGTGGAGCAGTACATTGCGACTTATTCTCCGAAAGGGGTGTTTGCTGGGGTTGACAAGGGCGATAGACGGGGACTTTCGTAGACTTCTGGAAACGAGTCTTGTAGCCGATGTATGTAAGAGCGGCTTGGGTCCAGTGTAGTGGAGATAGTCGGATATCAGTGTTGACGTATTGCGAAAGTGGGTCACCGAAGGTCCAGAATCTCGATGAGAAAGAAGAAGTCATGCAATTGCGCCACGCACGTGCGCTGAGACTCGGTCAAGGCACGTATATACAGGTCTTGTCTTTTTTATGTCTCGTAATGGGATGATCAGAATCCAAGCTGGGGATAACGAAGGATATATAGACGAGTCGCAGTGAGATATTGTGTCCATCTGACCTCCAAGACACGCCTTTTTATGTAATGGACTCCGTCGGCAATACATATTTTACTTACAGCGGCCATCGTTGACATAGTTCAAGACATGTCAAAGCAATGGGATCAACTTGCGACGTATAATGCCAAGCGCGAATGCAAAGTGCAGTCTAAATGAAACAACCTTGAGGATGTTTTAGCTCCGGACAGGGGATGGCTTTCGGCCTTGGTAGATAGCAAAGCCTCGCAATGGTTATGTGATCATTCGCATGACCATTGGGTAGAAGCCGTAGGATTATTAGCAACTGCCAATATGAGCCACAATGCTGAAGGTCTTACAGGGGCTAGGCCTCTGGCCGTGAAGGCCGAGCATAACCTTCAAGAACCATAAGTTGAGCCTAATTGTATCCTCAATAATGACCAACAAAAGCGGTGAGCAGACAGAATCTTTGACGGCACAAAGTCAGAACGGTCTTGGGGGGGCCCAGGTGGCGCTCGATTGTGGGCCTGTAGTAGTGAAGCCATGGGCGTTAATATGCCTCCAGAAGCTGCTGTTGAGTTACGTTGACCATGACATATTAAGCATTTCTCTCTTCCTGGGCCGGTGCACATACTTCCTGTCGAGCAGCGGACTCCGATTGATTTTAGCATCTACCTACCTAAAAGAGTGAGGTGTGAGGTGGTGTGCTGGCGGGAGCATGGTGTTTGAAAAAGACGAACAACGTGCCTCAAGGGTATGCTCGCTAGCATTCCCCACAACTCGGCAGTGACAGCCAACATACCAAGATCATCCTTGGTTTGTTGAGATGCCATATGCATACCACACTCCGGTAGCCGCTGGGCCGATCCGCTAAGGCAAGTGCAACGTCTTTGAGCCCGTTGGAACCCGCAGGTGGCAGATGACGATGCATCTCGACTA